AGCTAAGGGGCACCTGGCTGGCTCGGTCAGTTAGAGCATGTGACTCTTGTTCTCGGCATCCTGAATTCAAGCTCCATGTTGGGCATAGAGCTTATTTAAAAAAAAAAAAAAAAAGTGTTTGCTAGCAAGGAACAAATTCAGTTAGTAAACAATCTGCTTTTAATTTTTTAAGGGGCACCTGGCTGGCTCGGTCAGTTAGAGCATGTGACTCTTGTTCTCGGCATCCTGAATTCAAGCTCCATGTTGGGCATAGAGCTTACTTAAAAAAAAAAAAAAAAAGTGTTTGCTAGCAAGGAACAAATTCAGTTAGTAAACAATCTGCTTTTAATTTTTTAAATGTTTTAGTAATATTGATATCAATGCCTGCTTGTGGGTAAAAATGGTTAAGTCCCCTAAGACTCACATTCTGCATAAATGTAATCTATTACATCCTTCAAGTACTTTTGTTATTTTTATTTTTTAAATTAAGTTTATTTATTTATTTTGAGAGACAGTGCGCACGAGAGAGCGAGTGTGTGGGGCAGAGAGAGAGGGAGAGAGAATCCCAAGCGGGTTCTGCAGCATCAGCATAGAGCCTGAGGCAGAGCTCAAACTCCTGAAGCACAAGATCATGACCCGAGCTGAAATCAACGAGCTGGATGCTTAACCGACTGAGCCACCCAGGCACCCCTCAAGTACTTTTAGATAAAAGTCACGATCCTCTGCCTCCGCAGCTGGAAGACAGAAGTGTGATGAGAAAGGCGAGGCCCGTATAGTTAAAGCCAGCCAGGACAAGAGAACATCTGAACAATGAAGAAGTTTCAGGTAGTTTTTCTACCATGTGCTCAGGACTGTAGATAATAGAGAAGGATTCGGAGGAATTCCATAGAGGATCCAACTTTGCAAGTGGCTCGGGGCAGAAGAGAGCCTAGGCCCCGGGTGAGCTGTTCCTGCGTGCCGCTCGTGGCTTTGCCCTGTACGAGCTGTATGACCTCAGGAAAAGTACTTTTCTGCACTGGTCTCATGTGTAACGGGGGATAAAACTCGTGAGGCTGGTGGGAGGACTGACTGTGAGAAAACATGCAAATCATTCCTTAACAGTCATTCAGCAGCACTGGTCTCTTTCTTACAGCCTCTTTCTAAGAGGTCAGTCTTCCCACTGACTGAATATTTCCCTCTTCAGGACTAGGAACACTTTGTGTTTGCATTGAAATTTTTTACCTTGAGAGGTCAAATGTCCATGTATTAAATGTTCACAATATTACTAAACATTCACGCAGGCTGCGAGGCGGGAGGGACCTTACCGCTATTTTACTGGTAGGACTGTGGACGTCCATAAAGACTAAACGACCTGTCCAACATCGTTCATCAGGTCAGGACAGGCCTGAAACAGCAATGAAATATATCATGGTTAAGCACATGATTTAGATGTGACCCTTAATACACGACTGATATTTTCTTGAGTTAGACCAACACTGAAGCGCACGCACAACTTCATTTACCAGTGAATAGGGCTTCTCTTATCAGAGCTGCTCGTTTTTAGTTTGCAAGGGAGAGAACATGAGAGACTGCAATGTAAATAGTTAATAGAGACAGAGCAAGATGGCAGTGAGAAAAATGGTTAAGATCAGAAAGTTGCCCTCTATTCCAGAGATTTGTCTTTAAAAATAAAAATCATGGTCCGATGTAGGTGAAAAACGACAGGTTTTAGAATTTCAAAGCAAGCTGGTCAGCAACAGGGAAAGGATAACCTGAGACAGGACTAAAAATATTAAAAATGTGATTTTTAATAATATAAGTACAAAATTTTATTTCTTTATACAACTGTAATGGGATTTGGATCAAACCGCTAGAATTTATTTAAAAAACAAAATAAAACAATGATATAAAAACTGCAAGAAGGTCTGAATCCAAAGTTTTTCCTCTAATAGTACCAAATACCACAAGGTACAGATTATTATACAAATGTGTACAAATTTAAATACAAATACAATAAGGGTTGGGTTTTAAAGGAAAACAAACAAACAAAAAGCAGGTCCTCACTGGGATTTCATTAACGTGCACGAAGGACAGGGGCAGGACTGACCTCTTCCGTACTTCTCCAGGTCTCCCAGGCCCCTCCTTGATACCCTGTGTCAGACAGGAAACTTCCACGGGTACAGATGAGGTGTGGCATGGGGTCTAACACAGGCAATCAAACCCAGATCTGCTCTTACTGATTTAGGTTCCCAAACATACCCGTTTCCTTCTGTTTCCCCAATTAAACTTCACCACTGCTCCGAGCTGAGGGCCTATCAGCAGCTAGAGCACCTTTGGGAAAGGAAGCCCTGGGGCCACACGGTGGGGAGGAGGGAAGGGATGAAGTAGGATGTGGGCTGGCTGCAGGGTCCTCAAAGATCTACTTCCATGCTGCAGCGCTCTGCCTCGGCTGGCCGGGGAAGAAAGCACAGTCCCCTCTGCCCCGGCCAGGGGAAGAAAGCACAGTCCCCTCTGCCTCGGCCAGGGAAGAAATCACAGTCCCCTTGGAGCTTAGTTTTGGCTGGAACCCCACACCAAACTGAAAAACAACCCTCAAGTGCTCAGCTGTCTTCTTTGGAACTGGGAAGCAAAAGTCTGGTTCTTTGGAAAAGTGGGCAGCTGGGAATGGTAACATTCCTTTTAATTTTACTTTCTTGACATTATTGAATTATAAAGAATTAGAATCCTGACATAATGATTCCTTTTATGAGGCACGATACCTTAAAATGTAGATGATCTGGGAGTTTTCAGAGGGGATCAGAGGAAAGGAGGAGGGAAGAAATGACAAATCTGTATCTTCCACATGCTGTTGCTGGTGGAGGCTTTTGTTATTAAATTATATATACAGAAATTTACAGGATAAATTAAAATCTAAGAGATTTTAAAGAGTTAAATACACATAATTAAAACACACAGTCACGAGCGCACATAAATAAACCTACATGAGAATTGAGTACTCTTTTTGCAATTCACTTATGTGTGGAATGCAGAACACTGGGTATCTGCCCACCAGGGGAGCCAATCGGATGAACCCAAGAATCACGCTGGGCCAAGTTCATCTTCCACAGCCATCAAGCAACTAAGCAGCAAAACCTGTGAGGACTCGGTGGCTAAGCGAATGTCACCGATGGAAGATACCAGCAATTAGTTCTGCAGATGGAATATTCTGGATCTGCTCACAATACATGTTCAACTTGTGCAGCGACAGCGTTACCCTCTCTCCAAGGTGTTTCACGCTGCTGGGGCTCACGTAACTCCTGGGCCCTACTGAGGCTGCTAATGGTACCAAAGATTACGATAAATTTTGAGACATGGACACTGGTATAGCAGGAAACGGAATGAACCCCTACAAAGTTCACCTAAGCCACTGAAGTAACTGGGAGATGGGAACGATTTTATCACCTCCAACCTAGGTCACTTCACATTGCAAGGCTTTGTACTTTCAGTCAACTGGCATCTTCCCATAATCTTTCCTATTACATTTCAGACTGTGAGACAGGTAAGGCAAATGGTCAGTGATGGGTCTGGAGGTACAACTGAGTTGGAAAAAAAAAATCACATTTTTAGCTGTCCATAAAGAGATGCCCTTGGCACCCAGAACAAGCCCCCAGCCCCCAAGTTTCATTGATTTTTAAGGCAGATTGATCCACCACAGGAGAAAAAAGAATCCCAAGTCCATATTCATGCCAAGGTTTCCTCTTGGCTAAACCTTTGCCATTTCATAAAATTATTAAAAGCAAAGTAGTTACAGTCCTATGTATATATTGTACATTATATATATGTATATGTATATGTATATATATAAAAATTCGAAGCCTGTGCCCGGAGACCAGCGATCTGGAGCACCCACATACACACACACCAGCAATGGGGAGGACGAGGTCTCTGTCCCGGGGCTCCTCGCTGTCACAGTCCAGGCATGATGTAAGCAATGTTGTCTAATGTGTTTGACTGCAAAACAAGGGAAAAGGTTCAGCTGCAGAGTACTTTACCTTAGTTCCCCGAGCCCTATTTCCTTGTTCAGAGGAGAGAGAGGAGAGAGGAAACTGAGAGTGAGAGAGTGAAGCCGGCACCGTGCCGTCTGCTCCCCTAGGAGCTTTTCCGCGGACTCCTCCCATTAATCCTCGTGGAAAAGAGGCAGAAGCCTCCTGCTCCGTCTGGGTGTAGAAGAGCAGAGGGGCAAGACGGGAGGTGCGGCCCCTCAGGGGCTGGAAGCGTCTCTCCGTAGGGCTGTTCAGGGAAGTGGCACTTTTCCTAGCTGCACGGAAAGCACAGCATGTATTCAGTGGCCCAGGACTGTGTTCTTGGGTCAATACATGGAGGGCGTGCCATCCGCCAGGAAGCCTCGTGAGCTTGTGCCCTCAGAGCTCGTGGAGGCAGGGCCTCTGTGGCTCCTGAGGGGTCTGGCTGAAAAACTCCAAGGAACACAGGGAAAACTCACCAAGACCTGCTTGGGACAGCCGTTCAGTTCAGGTAGTTGTGTGGTCAGACATGCCAAGGGGCCAAGCGCACAGATGATGGAATCCAGAAGCACGGACAGACTGCCGGACACGGCCACCATGCCCTGCAAGGAGAGCAGTAAGGGAGAGCAGGTTGTAATCAAGTCCCACTCCTGAGGTTCCCTCCACGTTCTGGTGGTTTCCTTACATTGTTCTTTTTTTTTTTTTTTAATTTTTTTA